GTAGCAATCGTAACAGCAAGAAGCCGTGTTGAAGCTCACATGCTGCCGTAGTTGAGTTTACAACATAAACATTTTACCCGGCACCGTGAAAATATATTGCTGGAAACTTGGAATTTATGGTGAGGGGGGAGCAGGTTTGTGGGGCCTGCTATCAACATCAATAGAGGAGAAATTGAAATTCCATCCTGTGAGCCAGTGGGCCCCAGAGCGAGAATAACTGGCCCAACTTTCCCTGTGTATACCGAGGCGGGGTAATGTAATAATCTGTTGAACTCTGCCCCTCGTTATGAAATTCTTGCAGAGTTTTTGCTTCTAATTTCCCTAAAGCCAAGAGAGAGAGAGAGATCATGATTCAGATACTACCAGTAGTGCCAGCAGTTACCTAAGATCTTCCTCGACCTCCAGCACACGGCCAACCGACGTTGGCGATGATGCTCCAGCTCATTTTAATCAAAATGAGACGACTCTTTTTTTTTTACATTTGTAATTGTCAAGATATTACGATTGTCCTTTGGATATTGTGGGATATATTTTTTTCCATAGATTCATCATTTATTTCTGGAGCCCCGGAAGTAATGACAAAAAAAAGAGAGAGAGAGAGAGAGAGATGCAAGGGAGAGAAAAAACAAAAGAGGGCTGAAAGAGTGGCCGAGAAAAGTAGGAGAGATAGTCGAGAAAGATATGCAGAGAAAAAAGTAATAAATTAGGACCTCCGGAGGAGATAAAGTTGGTGGGCTGGCCCAGTTAATTAGTGAGGAATGTGAGAGATGAGCCATCGCTTCATCAGACTCTTCTGCCTACTTCTTACCTTATTCCTCACAACATCTACTTGAAACACAGACTCAGTCGATCGCCTTTACCCATCTATAAACAAACATAAATAAATACAAATAACTAGTTATAGATTACATTATGTGGAGGTGTTATCGCGATGCTGAAGTTACGAGTGTTATTCATTGGTTTCGTGTGCTTCCCGTGTTTTCGTAAACAATTCAAGTGCTATAATTCAAGATATATTTCCTTTGTCTTCGATATATTGAATGCCTGATTTCGCGTGTTTTATTATAATTCTCAGGAATTAATGCACGAGACATTTTCTTTGTGGGGTCGGTAACTCTCGACAGGAGCTGCCATGCACAGGCCAACCGGCCTATTGCAGACTCCTTATTTTCTTATGTTCTAATTAATCCTCTAAGTATGAGCCAGGAGACGGCGCCATTCCCGAAGATCACGTAAATCGATTTTCGAGACTAATGCGATTCAGGCTGAGGGCATTGTCGGGGTGAAATAAGATCTTCAGAATACTCCTGATTAGGTCGAATGCCACAATAAAGGAGGTGTTAAAGCAGGAATATTGGATGTAAATAGGCGAGTTGGAGTCCTTTCAGAGACTGTATAAGGACTGAAAGAGAGAGAGAGAGAGAGAGAGAGAGAGAGAGAGAGAGAGAGAGAGAGAGATGAACCCTTAAAACGTTTTAAAACACACTATACTTCTCCACTCGTATAACTTTACACCAAGTTGATGACTAATGTTATGGGATATAGTTGATAGGGATTTTTATAATGTTCCACAACATGAAAACACAAAGAAAGATAAATATAAGAAAGAATAAACATAATGAATAACTCGTTCCTTGAACGAGTTGACTACCTATTTTCCATCACAATAATAGTGAAATATATGAAAACATATAACGTTACTATGAGAGAAGGTCGTCACGTTTGAGACGTGTATATACCTCCCCCTCATTCACAACCGAAAACAAAAGCAGGTCAAAGAATAATTATGTTCGTATTCCAAGTTCTTAAAGGTTCGTACGATGAATAATTCTCGTAACTGAAGATGGAAGAATGCACCGAAATAGTAAACATTTGCAACTGAAGGAAGGAAATAATGCCTAAAAGATAATATTAAAATTACAAAAAGTCCCTTAACTAGATAGATTTATTTTAACACCAGGTAGAGACAAAATAAACAGACAGAATCTAGATCATATGTTCGTTAATTATTTCTCCTAAATGTAACTAGTGTTTCTGTTTGAAGGTAATGTTGATTTTATTTTTGGATGTACTATTTTGCTTTGTCTTACTGGTCAACCAGTTACATGCATTCTTATATCTTTAAGAACCTGGACTCGTCCTTTTCCCGAGAAAGATAAATCCGAGAATATAAAGAAGACCAGGAGCCCGGGATCCCATGTCACTCGCTTCGAGATTTGGATGAGCCAAACCTTGTAAAACATATAACATTTTGTCTACAAAGATTTTGTTAAATTATTTTTTTTTTTTTTTCAGTAACCCTTTATGACCTCGGTCGACCACGATATATTATTGGTTATATCCACCGTAAAAATGCATTTCGAACTGCAACTCCTATAGTTAACCTATAGCCTTACTAGGCGACTAAAGACGACACCCTAGAGCTAACAGAGGAGATAATCGCTCCACACAGCACTGGATGAATCCCCTTTAAAAATTTATCAAAGACTCGAGATGAAAGACAGATTTTAATTTGAAGACACAAAGGATATTTTTTTTTTTTTATTCTGTGTCTATGTTTGTAGGATGGCAACTTTTGTTACTTGATGTAGATTTTTTAACGTTTGAATAATTATGAATTATTGTTTACTCATCTATATTTAAAACCGAAACAAGTTTTTAACTTTCATTTTTATACACTTATCAATTTGACGTTTGTTGCGAGTCGAGTTGCTCAGGTCTTCCTTTCCCACAGTTGTTGAATATCGCTACCTCCCTTGTTACTCCTATCTCCGCTCATATCGTCTACTGCTGCATCTTCCCATTCCATTCTTTATCTTCCTTTGCTTCTTTTAACCTCTACTGATGATAGAATAATTCAGTTGCAAGTAGGGTCAATTTTGCTCTGGAATTGTAATGCAGGCCTACGCTAATGGCCCTCATTTAATTCGGCAAACAAAACTTGTCTTCTTATAATCTTATGATTGTAGACTTTAACTATTGTCATATGAAACAAAGGGCGACCATTCCCCCTCTTTAGTGTTTCCACTCTGGGAGGCATATTTACCGAGGCGAACACGTCTTCTAGACAGGTTATGATATGATGGATTATTTTAGGGCAGGTAATATTAGGATAGGTTAGGATAGTTGAGAACAGAATAGGTTAGGTTAGGTTAGATTCGGTTAGTTAAGGAGAGAATAGGTTAACTTTAATATAGGTTAGGTTAGGTTAGGTTAGGTTAGGTCGCAGCGGCCATTTTTATTGTCATTATTATAATATAGCGACAAACATATTAACAAGTGGTGCTATATCACGCAGCCCTTAAGAAACACGATGGCAATGGCAGAGGTTTTGTGCACTATTGTACACCGCCCCTTTCCCCCGCCCCGTGCCCAGATGATGCACGAAACTCAGTTGTTTCACTGTTTGTTTGTCACGTTGCTTAGTTGGTTATCCCGGCGAAATCTCAGTGACTTTTTGCGCTGAATTTTTTAACATAGAATTGATCAAATACTTGTATTTATGTTTCGACTCATTCTGTACACTTTCCCCTTCTTCAATTCTGTCATGGAAGTGCAGGGCAGTGCACTTTGAAGTTGCTGCATTTCACACATTTCACACAGTTTACAAACATTTCCCACTTTTCTAACTCAGAACGAGTGTCATAATGAATGGGGTCCCCTATAGGCCTGACGGTCCCTTAGGAGCAGTGTGAATATAACGTCAATGTCGCCTTTACATCCTCTTCTGTAAAGTTAGGTACCAATTTGCAACTGGGTGGATTGCGAGTGTCCCGGTATCGAACAAGAGACTAAAGGACATAATCTTTCCTCCGTGCAGTGTGTAAAGGTTGTTTCTAATATTACACAACCTTAATCATCTAAACTTTCTCTGCCTCTGTCACTACCTACTACTGCACTGTATATGATATTTCAAAAATATACTCATACTCTCTCCTTAAATCTTATCGCTTTGACGGGAGAAAACGCTTCTTTTTTGTCGCTCTTACTTCTTCTATAAGTCTAAAAGAATCCATTGTAACTCGAGACAGCCATTAAAATAAACTTTATACACTTGTCACACGACAGAGGAGAGACGACGACGAATCATCCCACCAGCGAGCGTCCTGGACTTCACCCCAACAGCCGCCACCGCAATCAAGGCCCCAGACACCAGAGTGAAATTAAAAAGACAAAAGAAGTGTTTGATATTAAAGACGTAGCGGGGTCTGATCTCTGGTAATTAAGACGGATCCTCCCCCCTCATCCCCTCCCAACATCCTACACAGGATCCAACACCAGACGCGTAGGATTATGCAGGAACCTGCAAAAGATTTAAAGGATTCGTGAGCGTGGGGTAAAGAAGGTATGAATGTAAAAGAGTTTGATTCGAAAATAAAAAATACACAACACGTTCACCCTGTCTTTTGAGATGTTATTTTTAACGCAATGTGGAAACTGAGTCACTTGTGTGTTGGTCTCCATGCGTCACCCGAATATATTCATTTAAAACAAAAACCTTTGTAATGTAAAGGAAACATGCTAAGTTAAAGATAAAAATCCTGATTATGTATATGGAAAGTGTTCACAATAAAACTAAAAATAGTAATAACGCGAGGACAGTAAATTTGAACAGCGACCTAGACTGAGATTACCTCACTCCATAGGACACCACATTTCTGCCAGTTAGGTCGCTATATGACCTTGTTGAAGAAAACAAGAAACGTATTTCGTTCTACAGCCTTCTAAGTTTGGCGAGTACTGTATGAGACGACTGGATAAACTATCCTATATTGTGTAAAGTACCGCAAGGTAATAAGAAAATGTTTTCCATATACTAACAAGATATAAAAGATATCCCAATATTTCATGACTTAGTCCCCACCTCTTAGACCTCAGGTTCATTTTTATTATGTTCCTATCTTACCCTATCCACACATCCTACTCACTTTCCTTGCTTCCTCCCTCCACGTAACACCCACCCATCAACTGCCTCCCCGACACACCCCGACGCCGAAAATATGATAACCGTGGAACAGATAAAACAGGACCACACCCCAGACCTCCGCCGCGCTGCCTCATATCATTACGGAGCGACGATTGAGTCACCGGGAGGAAATGAGCAGAACTTCCCAGAGCGTGGCCCTGGTCTGCCAAGCTCCCTGGAGCTACTGTGGCCTTAAGGGCAAGCCTGGGAGAGGGCACAGCCAGGAAAACAAATGAAAGAGGAGGTGAGAAAGGGCATGTGATGGGGAGAGAGAAAGAAGGTATGAAAAGCTGCGAAGACAAAGTTAACAAGAGCAGAATACAATAATTAGCAGGGAAGGATATTATGAGAGAAGCATGAATAATTAACTTAATTATCTATGATTACTTTCTTCTCCTGTGAATGTCTGAAATAGAAAAAAAATATAGAGACTTTTTAAGAAAGTTTCTAGTTGTAATTTAACATATACAATGATATTGCAGACAAACTTTTGATTTCTGTAATATATACATATTTTTCCTTACCCTTTCCCTCTAGGCTATTCTGAATGCGTTATATCTTTCCATAATTCATCACTGGTTTTTATATCATTCTTCAAATAATTATTATCAATTTCCCGGAGTTCGGTGTTCCTGAGTCTGGGGCTCAAATGTTCTTTTCTAAGTTGTAAAATTGTTAGGTTTATTTTACATCCTTCATGTACGCATTGAAAGACAAGTTTCAAGCAAGCTTTAACGCGCATTAACAGTCGTCCACATTCACACGCATACACACATGCAGTTTATGGAAATTAACAAATACAAATAAACTTACATACTCTTCTTTTCGATCACACACACACACACACACACTCTGTTACGGTCGTCTCTCCTTTCCCTCAATATTTGTTTCAGTTACCCTTTGTATTTAGTTTCTCTTCTTTCCCTTTTTTCTTTAGAATTGAATTGCCAAGCTTATGGTAAAGACTTTGAAAAATGTCTTGATTATTTTACATAAGTATGTATACTAGTATTTGTTTCAATATGTAAACTTTGTAGAATGTATTGTTATTTTTTATACAGTTATGAAAGACTGTAAGAAGAGGGGGGTGAAGCAGTGCCGGATTAACCATGAGGCACTTGAGGCACTGGCCTCAGGCCTCAGGCCTCCCGACTCTAAGAGGCCCCCAAATCCAAACATTCTCGAAGTTAAAGCATATAAAACATGAACTTCGTTCAACGATGTCCTAGCAACGTCTCAATTTTCTGTCTCTTATGAACATTGAATGTGTTATTTTGCAGAAGATTAATATTGATGAAATCATTGATAATTTTTTATATATTTTGTTCTTGCTATATATATATATATATATATATATATATATATATATATATATATATATATATATATATATATATATATATATATATATATATATATATATATATATATATATATATATACCTTGAGGGTAGGGGGCCCCAAGTTGATCTGTGCCTCAGGCCCCTATTTAGCTTAATCCGGCCCTGGTGTGAAGTTTAAAAAGAATTAGAAATTATATGTTGATGAAACAAGAAAGTATTAGACCATTGTTTTGGTTTTGACGGCACTCTCTCTAGTTAAGTTGAGGAGGATAAGAGGGCCAAGCATGTGTGGTGCACATTTATCTATTATTATCTGAGCAATCATGGATAATTATGGTGTTAACTAAAGTGTAATATGTTCATTATAGTGTAAAGATTATTGTAGTAGTGAGAGAGCATTTTATTTGGTGGAGATAACATTATTCTGAGTGAATTGATTTGTGGCCTTTTGTATGCATATGACGGAGAGCACATATTTATTATATTTTGTTGTTAAATACATTTTGTTGTAATTTTAAAGCTGTGCTTTGATTAAACCAGTTTTAATGGCAACAGTGGTATTGAAATAAACACCTGTCAGCTGTCAGGAGGTTGTTAGCCTGAAATAAGGTAAGAGTCTGTGTTTAACATATAATCTCGCTATTAACACAAGCTTCAGAGTCTCCTCCTATATAATGGGCCTATGGCAGTGGTTCTCAATCTGGGAGCCATAGCCCCCAAAGGAGCCACGGCAAGAATTTAGGGGAGCTACGGCGAGCTGTTATAAATTGTACGTTTCCAAATAATGTTGGAAATCTGAATTAAACAAAACTTGTATTACTTATTTTGACTTGGCAGAAGAGAATTTTCATTCTTTTTTTGTCATTTTGTTTAATCATAACGACAATACAATTTTAATGTTTACATACTCTGGTGCTATTGTTTTTTGTTTTTTTACGGATTATTTAAGATTTCACAGGTCCAGTCCATCTGTGTGACAGGCGCTGGACCAAGCTGCTGAACTGACTTGTTCAGTACGTGTCCGTGTGTCATCCCTTTGCAAGTGGTGATAGGACCGAATGATCTCAGTCTGGCCTGGGATACCATCACGAAAACAGTGGAGTGTATTGTCTCTGAACCATATATTGTGTTTGAGCTTGACTCAAGCATAATATACTCCGTAATTGGTGTTACTTATTTTGTTTCATAATTCATGTGGTCGCTGCTTTACGTGGGTGAAATATTTGTACACTTCCTTTATTAATTATTTCCTTATTTATTGGTGCCATTGTTGTTCATACTCATTCTGTACTTAAATAATCCTACCATTTTTAGTGCTAAATTGGTATGACTCACTATTCTTCTCATTCTTCCAAGTTGGGCACTGCTTGTCAAAGGAGGCGTGTTCTTGCTTACAGGAAGTACACTTCAGCTTGCTAGCTTGAGTGTGAATGTTTACCTGTGTGCATGTTTGTGTATGACTGCATGTGTGCTTTATGTGTGAGTGCATGGGCGTGTTATGTAAGTGAGTGTGTGTGTGTGTGTTTGCCATTCTAACCTTTGTCCTATTTATCTGTCCTTCTTTAGTCTTTATCACTTGTCTGTTTGTCTGTTCTGACAGTCTGTCTTCTTTATTTTCTCTAGATTTGTGATGGCTGCTAGTGTTGCTAAGAAGCGGAAGTACATCGATGGATACATTAACTACGGATTTACATCAATCCTCGCTGATGGCATTGAGAAACCTCATTGTGTGCTGTGCTTCAAAGTGCTGGAGAACGATTCTATGAGGCCTAGTAAGCTGAAGCATCATCTGATGACGATCCATCCACAGTGTGCGGAGAGAGACACCGATTTCTTCAGGCGCCATGAACGGAGTTTGGGATAACAGAAACTGGACGAGTGGTGCTTTCCAACAACAGACAGTAAGTGTAGTTGAGGCATCATACGAGGTTTCCCTCGAAATTGCCAAGCAAAAGAAGCCCCATACAATTGGTTAAACTTAGATTAAGCCATGTGCTTTAAAAATGGTCAAACGGGTTCTTGGAGAGGCAAGTGAACGTAAAATTTAACAAATTTCCTTGTCAAACGATACAGTGAAACGGAGAATAAATGAAATGTCAGATGACATAAAGGAAAAAGTGATACAGGAGATCAAATTATCTCCAACTGGTATGTTTGCAATACAGCTGGATGAGTCAACGGACGTGAGTTCTTGTGCACAGCTACTCGTGTTTGTTAGGTATGTTTTCTTGTGTGACATCAAGGAGGAATATCTGTTCTGTACACAGCTTGAGACCACCACAACAGCTGTAGATGTGATGGAAAAGCTGTCTTCTTTCTTCACAGCTAACAGGATCAGCAGGGGAAATTGTTGTGGAGTCTGTACGGATGGGGCTCCGGCGATGCTGGGATCAAAATCGGGGTTCCAGAAGCGTGTCGAGGAAGTAGCTCCGAATGCCAAGGGGATCCATTGTATGATCCATCGTTTTGCACTGGCGTCGAAAACCCTCCCTGATGAACTTCGCAAGATCCTGGAGGCAGTGGTCAAATGTACCAACTTTGTGAAAGCTGGAGATCTGAACTCTCTCTTTTTCCAGAACCTTTGTAGAGACATGGATTCAGAGTATGAAGCCCTCCTCTTTTACTCCAAAGTGCGCTGGCTTTCCAAGGGCAATGTTGTGAATCGAGTGTTTGAACTTCGGGGAGAGCTTAAGTTGTTCCTGGAGTGCAAGGGAAAGACGATCTATTAAGTCACTTCAATGAGGTGTTGTGGGAGCCACGTCTTGCATATTAGCAGATATATTTGAGCAGCTAAACAGGCTGAATCTCAAGCTGCAGGGCAAGGAATGAAATGTGTTTCACCTCATGGATTGTCTTCGTGCATTTCTTGCCAAGCTCCAGAATTGGCAAAGGAAAGTCAATGCAGGAAATGTTGCCATGTTTGAGAATCTTTCAACTGTTCTTGATGAGAATGAAGATCATCTGCTTGACCCATCACTCAAAAGTGAAATCACTCAGCACCTGAAATCCTTGGAAGTGAGCTCAAAAAGTATTTCCCAGAATTCGAGGAGGAAGATGGGAAATTGGTGAGGAATCCTTTCTCTGGCACTCTTGATATTGCTACCATTCCCAATGATGTTCAGGACGAATTTCTTGATCTCAAGAATGATTCTGCTGCCAAAGATCTCTATGAAGAAATATCTCTGACTGTATTCTGGTGCTCAATGTATCCAAAAGTTAGCGAGATTGCACTTCGAGTCCTCTTGCCTTTTTCAACTTCCTATTTATGAGAATCTGGTTTCTCCACCCTTCTACATATAAAGAGTAAAACACGGAACCGACTGGATGTGGACCCGGACATGAGATGTGCATAGTCAGTGACACAACCACGGATCAATCACCTAACTGAAAGGAAACAATGTCAGACTTCCCATTGAGCTGTGACAAAATATGCAGAGGTCATATGAACTTTTTCCCAACCAAATTCAAGTTTGCTGTGAGGCTTGTCTAGTAGTCACTCTAGTCTAGTGACGTCAGTTATGTAAATCATGTAAGTCTATCAAAATATAAGATAATGATGATTGTCAACCTTGAAATAAAATAAGGGTATTGTCTTCATCTGCATTTTATTTTTCAACATTATTTTTTTTTTTGGTGGGGGGGAGAAAAATGAAGGAGGCCACGAGGATGTTGAAAATTCTTCAAGGGGGGAATGGAGTGAAAAAGGTTGAGAACCACTGGCCTATGGGCCAGTGTGTCCTAGAAGAGGGTGTGAAGGTTGTAACAACACACACGCGCACACACAATAAAAAAGCTGACCCCTTGCATTTCTGGTCAAAATAAATCAAGCAAATGATATTACGTGATTAAAATCTCTCAATATGTTATGTATATTCCTGTAGCTCACATTACTCGTGTTCCCTGCAGTCTCGTTGGTCGTAATGTTGTATCGTACATTCTCTAGGTATGGACTTCCTTACCTCCTGACCGATATATTTTACTTTTATTCTATGTGCATATAGAAAGACTTTCCATGCAGTAATGAAGGAAAGCACGTGGTGATAACACTAACGTAAATTTTTTTCAAGATTTAGTTCATCTTTGCTGCACTGAAAACTTTTGCAATAAACTATTAGAAGAACTTGTGTTTACAAGACCTGCAAGGACACTCTACAGATAATTCTGGTTCTTGACTTATGAAAATTCTGTACATAAAATTCGTCCACTAACTAATAATGGTTGCCCCTCGTGTGACGAGGATGGCCGGCCCGAAGGCCACCAAGGCGTGAATTTGTTTAAGGTGTAGAAGCTGTCGCCAACACAACAACCACTCCCCAAGTTAACGAGTTGCATGACGCAGTGTCAAGAAATGGCCCGAGAAGACCGGACAACTCGCTAACTGCACTGGCTAACCATTACCCCGAAGTACGATCCGCAAATCGATTAACATCCAGGTCCCCAGTTACTGCTGGGTAGACAGAGGCAACTAACTAGTGCAAGTCCGACTATCCACTTAAAGTAGAGAAAGAAGAGACTAGGTCCTACAGGCATGGCTGACCGTTAACGACAGTGTGGATACAGCATTTTGTATACTATGCCTTCGGTATGCATGACTGGTGTAGCATTTATTATGCGCTCCCCCAGAATATACATTTCCCAGTCATTTTTATACGTGTAATCCCCCCCCCCCTCTCCATCTAATATTATACGTATATTATACTGTACATTCCCCAGGATTTATTTGCTCTCCACCGCTTATTATGAAGTTTGCTAAATTCTGGTAAACATATGAGAACACCCAAAGACACGCATCACGCAGGTATTGTGGCGATTACCGAGGCGTGGCAAATTGTTCCTGAGATCTGTGCCATAGAAAACTATGAGTTATTTCACCACCTTAGAAAGGACAGGAGAGGTGGTGGTGTAATTCTGTACTGTCGCAGTGACCTCAAACCGTCACCCCTAGGTGTTAATGTACCTGAAGATGTAGAAGCCTTGTGGGTTCAGGTCACTCCCACCCCCGCCAGCTTGCCTCCCTCATTGTTTGTGTTTGCTATCATCCCACCCGCGCACCAACCGCCAATGTACTGATTACTCATATTATAGACACTGCCGACTCCCTGAGATCCAGATTTCCATGTGCTAAACTAGTGATATGCGGTGACTTCAATGAGTTAGACATCAGTGACATCACCCAACACCTCCACCTTACACAAATAGTAGACTTTCCCACACATGGCATTGCCACCCTTGACCTCATCATGACTGATCTCGGTAACCACTACCTTCCCCCCCAGCCGCTGCCTCCCATGGGACGCAGCCCCCACCTGTCCCTACTGTGGTCACCTATCCCCACCTTCTCACCACCGCCATTTGCCACCAGAACTTACCGACCCACCCCCGACTCTGCAGCGTTTTGGACAATGGATAACTCGATATCCCTGAACTGAAGTGATCACGGTAGACGATGTACAGAACAAGTGGGATAATTACTTGGACACTTCTTTCCAGCCAAAACACTGAGGATCCACCCCGATGATGTCCCGTGGATTACGCCCCGCATAAAAAGACTTATTGAGCAGCTCAACAAGGCATACTACACCAACAACAGCCTGTACAAAAGTCTACGTAACCAGGTCATCAGGGAAATCAAGTCGGCCAAGAAGACTTACTATCCCAGGAAAGTGCACAGCCTCAAGGAAGTCGGCATCGGTCAGTGGTACTCCAAGGTAAAAGATCTCTGTGGTCTCAAACGTCAGTCTTCCACGCTTCCTTTCATCTCATATTTACCTAGTGAGGAGGCAGCTGAGATAATCAATAACCATTTTGCTACCATATGTCATACCTTACCCAGTCTTGACCTCACTCTCCTCCCGGCATACTTACCTTCCCCCTCCCCCGTCCCAGTGTTCAACCATATGAAATCGCCAACAAACTCCTGAAATTTAAATCCAAACGCTCCACGACCCTAATCAAAATATACAAGGAGTTTGCAGTCGAACTTGCCACCCCCCTTTGTTCTATTATTAATGCATCCCTCAGACAAAGCAAATGCCCTAATGAATGGAAAACCGCATTTGTCACCCCCATCCCCAAGGTTACCACCCCACAGTCCCCTAACGACCTCAGGCCAGTTGCCATTACCCCCATACCCAGTCTACTTTGTGAGGACTTTGTTTTTGAGTGGGCATATGCTAGTATTTATCAGTCAATTGATCCACAGCAATTTGGCAATATGAGGACCTCCTCTACATCACACTGCTTAGTGAGCTTTCTGGACTTTCTGCACAAAAACCTGCAGAAACGTAAGACATCACTGGCCGTTGCCCTTGTTGACTTCAGGAAGGCCTTTGACCTTGTTGATCACTGCACTGTTATCAACAAGGCCATTGCACTAGGGCTGCCCACCAACCTGGTCTCATGGCTCACTGATTTCTTGAGTGGACGTCGCCAGGCAGTGAGGTATCAGGGCTTGGTCTCCACATTCCAACACCTCACCTGCGGTGTTCCCCAGGGGACCAAGATGGGACCACTGTACTTCCTCATCCTGTTCAACGACACTCTATCTGACACTCCTCACAGGTGGAAGTACGTGGATGACTGCACTGTGGGGGTTTCAGTGGACAACACCGCACCAGACTACTCATCGCTATAAGGCACCCTGGACAGGCTACAGGCATGGACTATGGAGAACAAGGTCACCATCAACCACACCAAAACCGTAGTCATGCACATCAATACCGCCACCAGTACAAGCCCCAGCAGTTACAGTGGGTGCCCATCCTCTCCAGCTGGTGCAGTCTGCCAAACTCCTGGGTGTAACTATAGACAACAAACTTGACTGGAAGGCCCATGTAAATAACACAGTCAAGGCAGCCTCGTACCGTCGCTACATGCTACGACGACTCAGGACACTTGGGACACCCACGCCAGAGCTGAGGACCATCTACAACGCCTTTATTCTCCCCAAACTAACATATGCGGCGCCAGCCTGGTCGTCTTCTCTCAACTCCACCCAACAACAACAGCTAGAGAAGGTACAGAAAAGGGCCTGCAGAATCATGCTCGGCGCTGACTACTCCGGCTACACCAACGCTCTCTCCACCCTGGAAATGCCATCCCTCAGTGACCTCCACCACCAAGCACTGAAAAGGTTTGGCAGCCAAATATTGCACCACCCTCGTTATCGCCACCTCCTGCCACCGGCAGCCCCCCACCCACCTCGCGCAGTCCGCCACTACAACAAAATTCAGCCCATAAGAGCCCGTACCGATAGATATAAGAATAGCACCATCCAATCTATTGTTAAAATGATAAACAACTCCTGATTTATGTACTGTACAGCCCTGTAAATGTATTCAATGCATATTATATCATTATGTCTAAATCAAATGTAAGTGTATATTTTCAGCCACCGGCTGCAACTCTATTAATAAACCGTTTATTATTATTATTATTATTATTATTATTATTATTATTATTATTATTATCATTGACCCACCTGTTTTAGAGAATAATTGACCAAAGTTGTTTATCATTGTGGGCCATCTCTTTATTTCCCCTTCGTATGTCAAAACATATATTATGCTTTATATGAAAATTAATTATATGAATTTATAAAACTGGTTGGTACAAATATAAGAAAAACATACACATTTAAAACAAATTTATTACACCACAAATACAGTTTTAAATACGATAACAACAGGTGATGATAAACAGATGATCTTGATATATATGTATGTATGTTTGTTTATCCATTAACAACAAAGTTCATTGTCCTTACATAATTAATTAGCTCTTTTGTGCCAAGCTGTTTTCCTTTTCTGTGCTTGAGGGATTTGGAAAATGGCAACAACACACCTGTTTTAAGCCATTGTGTTTGATACTGACTCATCTTGCCATCGTTATATCGGGCCACAGGATTACCATTATGTCAGGAACTCAATGGCGTTGGCAATTGCCTACAGACCACAGAATGAACCATTTGGCTGTTGACCACAAGGCAAGAGTTGCAAAGCGTGTTTTCAGATGATTCTGTGCAGTCAGTCAAGTGTTTTGGCACTATACTATCTGCCACCTTTATACTCTTTCTCAATTTAGAAGTAAATCGGCGATTCCGATTTTCATCAAAGTGAACTCGGACGAACAAATAGCCTTCTGAGTCAATTCCACTTGTCTTCTGTGCCACCATTGTTGTGTCTAACACTTTTATAAGAAACTGGTTATGCAGCAGAGTCTGTGTGGCACCTATAATACTATCATTCAGTAACTGGTCATTTGCAATAAG